AGAGGGGGGGGGGGAGCCAGCCGCCGGCCGGAGACCCAGGAGAGCGGCCGTCTCGTCCCGGCTCAAGCTCCCACGTGTTCCGGGACCTTGTCACGTCGTTGCTGGTGCCAGGCAGGGTCTTGGCGGGTGTCCTTGTGTTCCCCAGCAGCTGGGGGTCGACTTGGTCGCCGGTGTGTGTTGCTGGGTAAGTGTAGTCTCCGGTTAACGCCGATTTACCGGGCCCGGAGCAGGAGCTCAGACAGAGCACGTCTGATCCCGCCGGCGGTCAGGCCCCGCCCCCCCTTGAATTTTATTTCTTGATTATCTTTCCTTTTGCCTTATAGAGATTATTTGTTAAGTTCACGATCTCTAATAGTTGGTAATACATTTTACTGTTACTCTGTGTTTTTTCTTTTTATTATTCTTGGCCTATACCCTGCATGTTAGGGTCTCTAATATTTCAGATAAACCACTACCCACTAATTTTACAACTAAGAACATTGTAAAGTTTGAATGACCACTTCACGAATTTCAATTATCTTGCTTCTTCTACTTGAGACAATAAGTCCTAGACTCTTGATCCACTTATTATTCCCATCCTACAAAATTACTCTCTTGCCTCTAACTATTAACCAGGCTTCCTAAACAGCTCAAATATATTATTCAACTTAACTATCTCACCTCGCTATCTTAGGAACTTCTCAATCAAATTTCCACCTTTAAACTTACCCCGAACATGGTGAAGTTTCAACCACCTAAAAATACAAGAAAGCAAATAGCTACGTTTAATTGAATTTTTTTTTAGTACTTTTATTTTTAGACTTAAAGGGACCGGCATCACTTGAAATTTTTAAATCAACAAGCAAACACTTTTAAGCAAATATAAAAAAAGTGAAATGAAGCAAGAAAGACTTTAAAAAGTATATATTAAACATTTATAAACTTACTATGAACTTGGTTAGATTGCATTTTTGGGTACACGTACAACTCTAAGCTAGGGGAGTTTCTTAAGCCTCCCCTACCACTTAAACTACCCATCCAAGTTTCAGATCAGTCCACTATTACCAGACACAGGACATCATTGTGCAGCAGCAAGACAGTGAAACCTCAAACTGGAGACTGCTCTGCATGAATCACACTGATCAGACTCCCTCTCTTCTCCTCCTGTCAGGATGTTGCAAGGTGAAGAGATTTTCCAATTGCACATGTGAGAGTATATAAGGCATGCCCAAAGCACTTTTCCAGCATTCTTGGGGATAAGACACTGATTGGTAAGATCAGTATCCCCCTGGATTGGGTGTGGAAAGCATAATGAAGAAGAAGCAAGTAAATATGAAACAAATCATATTTACCTGCTTTCCTAGCCTAAAGAGTAAGGCTCATTTAAAGCTAAAGAATTAGAATGTCCCGTTAAGGGGTAAAAGAAGGCCATGCATTTCTAACAATAAACCACAAAAAAAAATAAAAAAAACATATAAAATGTATTTTTTACTCACCCCAGATGGTGAATGCTCAGTACATGGTTCATGCTTATATACAATGTTACCTTCATTTCCTAAAATGTAACGTGAAAAAAAAAAAAATTCAGTAAAAAAAATATAAACACTAAATAATTTTGTACAACTAAAATAAGGAGATTAAAAAGTTCAGCACACAGAGACAAATTTTGTGAGGGCCGAGACTGTAAAAATATTGCAATCAAATATGTTTTTGTGAATGAGACAATTTAATAAATCCTGAAGGGTCTCTATAAATAGAATCAGCAAAGAACTAAATATCCCTAGCCCTTTTTCTATGTTGCCACTGCTCTGTTATACAAGAAATATATTTTTTTTCTGGATTTTCACTCTGATCTGTAAAATAATGACACTTTCCCTGGAGTATTCAGACTAATTCTAGGACAAGTGCACATCCTAACAACCACATTTTAATGGGGGTAAATATGGGACAACAATACTTTTTCAGGGCAGAACGTTTGCTTTCCATGACATCGCCTAGTAGCATTTAGCATGAGATATGCTATATAGAAGTTGTGGGAGAGTGGATAAATAATAGTGGATATTACTATTTTGCCAAAGGTATCCCTAAAAGAAAAGTATTACATTCAATTAGGTTTTGAAAAGGTATCGGCTGTTTTGGCCCAAGATGTAAAGTCTGTACATGTGGAATGAACATTCCGTAGAGCAACACCATTTGGCCAGATTTTGCTAGCACATCTGGTGTCTGCTTTGAGGACTGGGTGGGAAACCACTGTTCTAGAGCCTCATCTGCAAAGTGAACAGTAATTTTCACAACATCATAAATCTATTCATTATTGCCATTAGCTGCATATGCTTACCTGTGGAGGTGCTATTGAATTCCTCATCATATAATTCAGCATCAGTTTCAGAATCACTCTGTTTGTCACTGTAGGAAAAAATAATAATATACATGCATTTTATCAAATTAATTAATAAGCTCCAGTTCAACAGCTGCAAAGTTGTAAATTGCCTAATCATATACTAGGAAGACACATATATGTCTTTTATATAATTGATGTAATCAAAAAAGGCTTTTTTACTCAACGCTGTGATTTTACGGAAGAGTAAGAAATATCCTTCCCCGTACCCCACACAACTATGCCAAATAAACAAAATATAAAATTAACTTTACTTATCAATAAAAATTAAAAAGACAGAAAGAAGATCAAGTACAACAAACATTTTCTAATTAATATATCAATAATAAAATAAAGCCAATTCACAGTTAACACAGTGAAGAAGTTTAAGCATGTGTGGGATAGGCATAAGGCTGTCCTAGCTATTAAGATAAGGCCAGGGACTAATGAAAGTATTTAGAAAATTGGGCAGACTAGATGGGTTGAATGGTTCTCATCTGCCATCACATTCTATATTTCTATGCCCATGAAAAATTGCTTTTCATAGAGTTGGACATATACTGACTCTTCAAAGTGGAACATGAGAGTCCAGTCCTTTTCGATCCTATTTATGAATCATGGATTCAACTTCATTAATAATTCACTACCTTCTGCGTATTATAATCACTTTTGTAGAGTCCAGACATACAAAGTTGCACAGTACAAATCCAATGGAAACTACAAACATTAATCCAGAGGAAAAAACATCTTTCCTCAAATCATTTCAGAATAACATAATCCATGCCATTGCCTACAGTGGTACCTAATGGCATTTTTTCCATAGATGCAAATTATGGCAGATCTACATCAAATTTGAAAGCTAGTCCATAAATATGCATGCTATTCCTTGTGCTACACCTGCTGATATCATTCAGACTTAAAATGAGCTTCTATTACAGATGAGAACTGGATAATTAATTATTTGCATATATATTAAGCTGTGGATCAAGCTGGGGCCAAAAAATTTCATTTAGTCACCAGACTATGTAGCTTGGCATGAAAAAATTTAGTAATATATGAACAATCAAAAAAAGTTTCAGAAACATAAAGGCAAAAATTAATTTAAAAAAAAAATGTATATATATATACATACTCTTGATCAAGAATGATGCAATAAAACTCACCTATTTGATCCACTAGTTCCTGGTTGTACCTAAACAAAGGTTGATATTAGCAAATACTTAATAAGCAGCAGCTGGATAAATACTTACAAAAACACATATTTTGATTTGTGTGGTAATAGCTTCTTGATCCAAGGAGATATCTGACTGCCCTTCTGGGGTCAAGAAGGAATTTTTTCCTAGTTTGTTGCACAATTGGAAGCGCTTTAGACTGTGTTTTTTGTCTTCTTTTTGGATCAACAGCAAAATAGAATGTGAGAAAGGCTGAACTTTATGGACACAGGTCTCTTTCAGCCTATGTAAATATGTAGATATGTAACTACGTAATATATGAGTAATGAAGTTTGAATCGTTATTCAAACGAGACAAACACTTTTATTTACTAAGGTGAAGATTCAAAATATATATAAAATTTCAATCTAATTGTCTAAGACAGGTATGCTTCTAGTTCGGCAACTTCGGCCTTAAATTCTAAATTGATTCTGAATTCTCACTTTAGTGAATAAGGTTCAGAGTAAAATGTATCTGAAAACATTCCCAATCCTAAGGCAGTATAGTTGGTAAACTGAAATTCAATTTGAATCATTATTTTGTTAATAAGGAAGCCTGTTTTTTTTTTACCCTGACTTTTACAAATCTTTAATTTTCAAATCACCACAATAGTGCCAATAGTGAAAAAAATATTTCTCTATACCAAACTTACATTTGAGGATGTAGAGGGCTCATTTTGCAACATTTCCCGATTATAGCCATTACCAGGTAGTATGTTGTTTTCATCTTGTGCAGCTACTGAAATGGAATGACAAATGTCTCTTATTTTGCACGAAAAAAATATGTATAAAAATCTGATTTGAAGGTTTCAAAACAACCACAGAGATATAGTCTGAAACTGGTATAGAGGACACTAAGCACACGGTGAGCTAGATGTGAAATCAGCAATGAGGTTTTAAGAATTGGTACAGTGGTAGCAGAAAGATGGACCAGTTTTAATAAAATTATGCTGTAATGGAAAAGGGGACAGTAATGGGGAAGGAGATGCTGTAATGGACAGGGGATGCATAGTTATCATGTGGCAGAGCTTACTGATGAAAAGGGTGTGTAATTCAAAGTGTCTGATTCCTGACACCAGAGTCTCCATTTGGGATTACAAAGAGTAATTATAATAAAACAGGCACATACATCCAGTATCTTACCACCTTTAGAATGTGTTCTCCTCCTTTTTCTGCAAAAAAAAAACAAATAATTTAATTTACAGAATACAGACAATATTTGAAACCTCCATACTCACTGACATCATGATTGGAATGTTTTATAAGTTAAATAAATTTGTGTGTATTGTTGCCACTGTGTACTCAACTACTTAACTGCATATCTATTGATGCATAGTGATGTCCCGAACGGTTCGCCGCGGACGGCAAACATATGCGCTGTTCGGTCCCCCCCTATGTCATCATTGAGTAAACTTTGACCCTGTACCTCACAGTCAGCAGACACATTCCAGCCAATCAGCAGCAGACCCTCCCTCCCAGACCTTCCCACCTCCTGGACAGCATCCATTTTACATTCATTGTGAAGCTGCATTCTTAGTGAGCTGTCCAGGAGGTGGAAGGGTCTGGGAGGGAGGGTCTGCTGCTGATTGGCTGGAATGTGTCTGCTGACTGTGAGGTACAGGGTTAAAGTTTACTCAATGATGACGAATAGGGGGCGGACCGAACAGCGCATATGTTCGCCATCTGTGGCGAAGCGTTCGGGACATCACTATTGATGCATCTATTTGTGATGACTTGAAAATACAACTTGCAAAATTTAGGACATAGCTCAGGTGGGAAAAAAGCCTACATTTCAGCCGAATTTTTGATTTTTCTCCAATATGCTTCCTTGTTTAAAATTTGCAGTAGATTCTCAAGTTACCAAATCTCTGTTTAGCCACTTTTAAAACATTTTAATATGATGCTTATTTACCCCTATATATAACATACACGTATTAGTGAGGTGTGAAAAATAAAATTAAATGTAGAAATCTGAATTCATACAGTTATGTATGTATTTGAGTGTGAATACAGTTATGTTTGTCTGAGTGAGTAACAGCATGCACATTTGTGTCTATAAGAGTATATGTGTGTAACTGCATTTGAGAAAGGACTAACCCTTCATAAAACTGAGTGAAAAAAGTACATACCTTTTTTTCACTCGGTTTTATAAAGGAGAACTAGCAATAGACTGAGGGTATTAGCAGATGTATTTTGGCAGCACCCAGTCCGAGGCTTCCTCAGTGAAGACTCGAACCATTGGGGGGAGGTTGTTTGGCAGAGCAGACATGCGTTGTCTATGCAAGTTGGGCGTCAAACCATTCGTAATTGTTTTTTCATATTTTACAACCTAGCAATGATCAGTCCCAATATTTATTTGTGACAAACATTTTAAATAGTAAAAAGTATTACAGGCTTTACCTTGGAAATCCAGTATTATTACGCATCCTTTTCTAGTAAAAAAAATAAAAAAATGAAAATACACAATTAGAACAATGGTAATATAATAACATCATTCAAATTAACCATAATTATACCATTATCGGACATATGTTTGTTCTTTTCCAAAAGCTTACTTTTCTAGAGAGGGGAAATGGTGTATGATCCGAACTCTACTCGTCAAACATCCAGTCCAAAAGACTGCAGCTATATGTATGGTAAACATACTGTCACTAATAAATACTAGCAGTACTTACTAGCCATAGCCTAGAGTTATCAGATCAGCAATATCTGTGGGACACAATCAAGATTATTCGTTAAAATGAGAATTGAAGGTGAATCTAAAATTTAATCTAAAAATGGCCAAACTGGAACATTCTCTAGGCTAGTTATGCTTTCAGTTCAACTGCTTTGGTATTAGATTTGGAATTCAATTTGAATTCTCAGTTTAGTAAATAACTATGTTATAGCCTGGTTACGACACATCCAGAAGTTTGATCAGGGTGCCAAGAGGGACTTGATCAGTAAGGGCTTTTTCTGAGGCCTGGGCCAGTTCGTGTTGACTTTGTGCCTTTGGGGGAATATCATTGCTAACTCAGGCACTGAGTGCATTGAATGAATACAGCAACGTGAGTAGGGTACAGGGCACTGTATGTGTTTGGGGAGAAGACTGTCCCTTGTATTAATAAGCCAGGATCCACAGCTCCACCTAAGTAGCATGTTATTATTTTAATATTGTTACACTGTCTTGTTTTTTTTTCCTCATATCTCTGCAGCGAAATTCAGCTGTGTGCTTTAAGAATTCTGTATGTTATCCCAATGCTGTACGTCTTGTTTAGCAAGGGCAGTAGAGTCTAACTTCATCTGAGTCTACAAGTCTAGTTTGGTTATAGTAATTTACTTGTTTGATATCGGTGCATTGCTTGCCAGTAGTTGACTTATTTTGCACCACATGTACTATTCGTTATTGCTTCTTTACCACAAAAAAAGGGGAGCTTTGATATTTTTTCTGTACTTATCCGTTGACGTCACTTATTTGATTGCTGTATTTGATGTCGGTTATATTGTCTATGTTATAACTTAAGCATTCTTTTGGACAGGGCCAGAATGAACCAACCAGGAGTGTGTATTATTCATACACTCCTGGTGTGAAATCACACAACTATTGCATTAATCATATCTGCAACTTTGTGAATCAGGCTGTGACGAGACCTGCAACGACAAAGCTTCTAGCTGTGCACAACAGAACACAGAACTACATTAAAATGGTAGAAGGATGGGGGGACAGCGCCCCAAAGAATATATGCCTTATAACTACAACAAGAATAACACAAGTATGGCAAGTAGCAATGGATGATTTGTTATTCTACAGTTACAACTTTTATTACCCTCTTTTTAGCAGATGAAGTTAATTTATCGTCAGCACTCTTTGAGTTCTCATCATCATCACCATCTTCATCCTCCTCCAAACCATTTGGAGCTATATTCACAAAGTCTGTAACAGCATGAAAACAAACTTACCAAACTTAAAATTTACCATGTTTGACTTTTTATATTGCAACCAGAATTATATATTTTTATTCTTTTTTGGTAAGTTAAATTTTTATTGAGGCAAATGCAGTAATACAAAACAGACAGTGCAACGTAAGAGTCAACAGTGGTATCACTTAGAGAATATAAGTGTTGCAGGTGATGTCGATACCCTTTTTTAACATAGAAAAATATTGAGAATTGTACACATGTAATGTCACATTAAAATGTAGCTTTCGTCATGAATGCAGGCAGCAGCACATATATACATAGAGCCAATAGCCCAGAGTAGAATATTATGACAAATGTGTCAGAAGTATAATGTAATAAAAGATTTTAGGGAGATAGTCGATTAGCTAATAATAGGCTATACTTAGCATGAATGCTGCACTTGACTGTGTCTTAGTGAAAGGTTGGACTAATAAGCAATACAAATGAAAGTAAAAGACAAATCAGATGGAGTAATTGTTAAAATGCTAGAAACTGCAGATATGTGATTAACTAAAGTTCTAATCGAAGAACATATCAAAATTATAAGACCACAGTGGGGTAAACCCAACTCTATAGGGTATAGAGGTGGGACGCCTGGAAGGTCTGGGTCACAAGGCCAAGACCAGCCAATTCCTTCCGGACACCAAAGTATTAGGCATATGAAAGGCTGGAGTCCCAAGTGGAGAAGATGTCGACAGAGATCCACAACAGCACCGAGGTGTTGTTGACTGCTGGACTGATCCAAAGCCATGGTGAAAATGGTATGGGAGCCGTACTCTCCATTGTATCTGGGGGAAGTGGTTCTCGATGTTGCCAAGATTATGGAGGAGTTTCAGTCTGCTATCTTGCGGGCATAACCACTCAGAGGTGGAGGTAGAGTATCCGTCTGTTTTGCAGGTATGATGGCCTGCATTTGCTGGTAAAACTTGGACCATAAAAAAGTAAATAACCTGTCTAGGTTGGTCAGAGTAAGATGTCAGACCACGTGAGTCCGAAACGTTCCTGGAGTCCGTCACATTAGGGAAGATGGTGCTGAGATGTTCAGTGGGTCACTATGTCTTTAGTTAGCATACTGCTTGTGTTGGGATAATCCTCACAGGCCAGGGGGTGTGGGGAAAGGGGATAGTAGGAGTTCCACAGTAGTTTCAGACTCCGCAGGGAGACTGGCCACCTCTCGCATCCAATCACAAAGGCCACAGAACTGCTCAACAGCCAAAAGTGCTTGGAGAAACTCTGCAATGCACTAACTCTGCACCCACAAGATCAACGAAAAATAATGTAAGTATAAAGTCCAGGTAGCATAGCAAAAAAAAGTCAAAAAAGCTTAAAAGTCAGCTGTTTGCTCAGAGCTGAGACTAGATGCGATTTCACTGCCTGGCAGTTTTCTAAAATGTATCAAAACAAGAAACTGTGATGATTTAAAGGACACTGCCACAATAAAATAAATATAGAGACGAGACCCTTGAAAATGGCAATTGCTTTTGTTAGCAATTACCGGGAGTATACAAAAAAAGATATGTATTTTAGTGACTGGTAATCAGCAGCTTCTGAAATTATGTGTTTGTGGCGAAACCAACCTCGCCACTGTGAACTGGAGAAGCCTGGTTGCTCGCCTGCTCCCTTTGGACTATGGCCCTGCAGGTTAAACTGTTTATTTCCCCTGCGGAAAGGCTTATTTGTGTGATCTGAGTGCCATTCATCTAATAATGTGCACTCAGATCCCAGCTATCTGGGGATATGTGAAATGTCTGTGTGTTATGTGTAAATGTGACTTTGTGTATTTTAAAGTGTTTTGTGTCGCAACCATGTGCTTAATGGAGTCTTGTGTCTATCCTGGGAGATAATTGAATTACTCTCCAGGATAGAAGACTCTGAAACTGGTTTGGGCCAGAAAGCCATGCTTCATTTAGTCACAAAGGACTTTTACTAACTTTTGAACCCCTTGTCTGATTTGTGCCATTTTTGAATATGTTGTTCCCCTGAATGGATTGATTGTGCAATGTAATTTTATGTGAATGTGATGTATGGTTTTAGAGTTATGAAAGTTGGGTAGAAAGTATGTTTTAACTGTATGTATAATTGGGTTTCCTCTCAGGATAAGGGGAGGGAATATGTGGGATGTAACTGTGATGTGATTGGTTGTTTTGTAACGCCCTGTGGGCTGTACTATGTTTGTGGATTGGGAATAAAAGAGACTGTATGTGACAGTACAGTTCCTGTTTTAACCCTCAAAGTGAAGTGTCTCTCATTATTGGGGGAAGGATTTATTGTATGCTGTTCCAGTTTGACTGCTAGGAGAGTAAACCTATTCGTATGGTTCCTATTCAACTGTCTACATCATTCAAATGCTTGAGAGGATTCATATGCTTCTCCGGTTCGGTGGTTGTGGTGTCTGCTGCAGTGCTTGGAGTCCTCAGGAAGCGCTAGGAGCATCCTTTAACGGAGGTACCCAGTCGGGGTGCCAGGCGATCCGTTACAGTGTTCCACAGAGATTTATAGAGGTTTCTGTATAAATTTATTTTTGTTATTATTTCACGTAAATAATACAAAGACAACGAGATATATCTGTAAAAGGCTCAAAGACTGTGATTGCGACATGTGTTCTAGATTAACAGTACAAGTACCATTCTAGGTAAAACATAAAAATAGGCATTAGTATACAGTCTGA